GTAGGATATTCGGCAAGACAACTTCAAGACCTTAACGTAGAGGCTGCCGCAGAGCACACGACACGTGCCCCATGGCTGTGCCAGCTGCCGTTTGCATGGTTGCAGCCTAAGTTGGCCAGTTTATCGAGAGCTTGAACCCTTTGCATCGGTGTCGTGCTTGGGCTCGTCCGTCTTGCATGATCGTTCATGATCGTTGCTCGAAAGCGGCGACAGCGTAGATCGCAGACCAACATAGGAGTTGCTTGCCATGGGGAAGGCAGCGAAGGGTGGCAAGAAGCTCCCAGCGGCGCCGCTGGCTGACAAGAAGAAGAAGGCCAAGAAGAATCCACTTTTCGAGAAGACCCCTCGAAACTACCGCCTGGGTGGTGACATCCAGCCCAAGCGCGACCTGACGCGTTTCGTGAAGTGGCCCAAGTACATCCGCTTGCAGCGCCAGAAGCGCATCATGCTCATGCGCCTCAAGGTTCCCCCTGCTATCAACCAGTTCAGCATGGCCATTGACAAGAACCAGGCAGCGTCTCTTCTGAAGCTCTGCAAGAAGTACTCGCCGGAGACCAAGGAGGCGAAGAAGGCGAGGCTGATGGAGATGGCACAGCAGAAGAAGGACGGCCAGGAGGTGAAGACGAAGAAGCCCCAGGTTCTGAAGTACGGCCTCAATCACGTGACAACGCTGATCGAGGAGAAGATGGCAAAGCTCGTCGTGATTGCCCATGATGTGGATCCCCTTGAGCTCGTGTGCTGGCTGCCGGCACTGTGCCGCAAGAAGGATGTGCCTTACTGCATCATCAAGGGCAAGTCGCGCCTGGGCCAGTTGATTCACCAGAAGGCCTGTGCGTGCATTGCCATCACCTCCGTCAAGCCAGAGGACGAGAAGGAGTTGAACACCCTGGTCAACAACTTCAAGGCACAGTTCAATGACAATGCTGAGGTGAAGCGAAGATGGGGCGGCGGCATCATGGGAATCAAGTCCCAGCACATCACTGCACGAAAGGAGAGGGCCATCCAGGCCGAGAAGGCCAAGAAGCTGGGCCTCCAGATCGCCTGAGCCTGGCGGGACCTCGACATGCGTTGGCTGCGCTGCAAAA